GTGGTGTACAAGATATCATGTGATTGCTTACAAGCGAAATCATATGTTGGAGAAACAGGACGGAAACTCGAGATACGCCTAAAAGAACATGAGGCGGCGATTCGTTTAAAAAGACAAGAGTCACCATGGTATCAACATTGTGTTACTTATAACTGTAAAATTAATAGAAGTTCGATAAAAATATTGTATAAAATGGAAAATTTGTTTAAAAGACGCGTGGTAGAACATTTATGTATAATAGAATATGCAAATTTACTAAATCAGAATGTCGGTCTAAACGTTGATGCATGCTGGGAAAAGTTCCTTTGTATAAAAGGGAACAGGTGTCTAGTTGTTTGATTATCCACTGATGAGGCTGTAACGGCGAAATGCATTTGGAAAACAATTTGAAATTTACGAAAATAAAAGAATTAACCCTGGTTAAAGTAATGTATCTTTGTTGATTTACTGTTTGTCTGCTAATGCAAATTGCTCGAAGTCGGTTTTTGAAAGAGTGTCTTAATTTACTCGTCTTTTATTTTTAAAAATTATATTTTTAGAGTTAATAAATTTTAGACTTCATCAGATACATTTTATAGTATGGCAGAAGCCAAAACAGGACTCAAAATTTTACAACTTGGATACTACAGTTTTTACATGGTTCATGCAGAAATATGCAATAGCCTATCCAGTGTTAGAGCTCTTATTAGTAGAAAAAATCAAATGGTTTCAATGATCAGTGAACCATTTTCATCATTCAAGGATGGTTGTAACTCTTCAAAATCTAACATGGAATTAGAAATTCAGGCGAAGAAACTAAGTGATGACATTGATGCTGCTTTCCTGTACATAAAGGAATTTAAACAACTTGTTATGGCTCATGATCTGTCACCTGATCAAATATATGATGGTCTTGTATTGAAAAACTTTGCCATCAAAAACATCAGTCTTACAAAAAGAAAAAATTGCTTCAGGACAAATGTCAAGTAAGGATCAAATAACTGAATAACCTACAAATAACTTAAATAGTGTTTCAATGCCAAGTGGTTTGCACAAATTGAAACTGGTCTATATTGGCAAATCTAAAAAACTAAGAAATCTTGAGCAGGAAAATGACACATTTCTGCTCCCTTATTATAACCAGGCCAAAACACAGATGAATTAAGACTGGTTTATTTTAATCACTTTGTTTTTCTGTTTGCAAATAACTGTGCTTGAAAAGTTAACCTCAAAGAGCAATGTTGGTGTTGGATAATGCCTCCTCACAGCCAAATGATTATGTCCTGAAAACAAATGATGGTCAGATTTTCATTGCTATCTCCCTCCTACCAAGACATCACTTCTACAGTCAAGGAATCAAGGAATTCTGTAGACACTCAATTGTTCAGTCTTAGGAGAACGTTGATCTATATGAATTTTATAGAAAAAATGGTCATTTAAGATGTAATTTTTTCTTATTTTGACAATTGAAATAACATTTCAAGTTTGATTTTGCAAAGATTATGGTAAAAATGGTACCCCAAAGTGACAAAAATCGACAACAGTATCAATAACATCTTAACAGTCTTCAGTTATACCAATCTTAGCATCCTCTTGAATGTTATAATAGCTGAAATGCTGTTCAGGATATCAAGGATGTTGATGGATTTGAAGATGTCAGTGAAGTGAATGGTAAACAATAGCCGCTTTCTTAGAAGTAATCACCCAGAGCATAAAGTGAATGATGATGTCACAATTGCTGCAGAAACCTTGTCAAGTGCCAATGTCATGCAAGAAATCAGTGATGATGAGACAGATAATTTAGTGATATTCTCATAGAAAATTTTCATATCTCACTAAGACAACAAAGCAGCATCTCAACTGGTTTTTCATGAGGAAACATTAGTGGATGTATCATGCAAAGAGATAGGAAATTATGTTTTATAAATAAACTTCACGTACAGTAATTGGACAATACAAACTTGTACTTTTCCACATTTTTCAATTCTACTTTGTATTCATCAAGGTAGTCCCAGTTATTAGCCTGGATAATAGAGGTTTTATTGTAGATTTATTATAATATAATAATAATAATTATAAATAAAAAATAAATAATTAATTAAAATATAAAATAATGAAAATAATAATAAATACTTNGGTTTTATTGTAGATTTATTATAATATAATAATAATAATTATAAATAAAAAATAAATAATTAATTAAAATATAAAATAATGAAAATAATAATAAATACTTGCTAAAATATATATATAAATTTCTTTCTGATATTATTCATGCTTAAAGTACTATAGACAATATCAAGAAAAACATGTGTAAATGCAATTCACGTATATTTATATAAGTGAGTCTAGTGTTGATTTAGAACTTAGAATATAATTTACATTCTGTGACAAGGAATGAAAATCTTTAATTATTATAACCCAGAAATTTAATTGTAAAATAAGATGATGATTGTTTTAGATTGTTTGTGAACTTTTTATATGACTTCAATAGATGAAATTATACATATAATACATACTTTCAAGTATCTATAATCCTATGAGTAAATTCTGTCCAAATTTCACAAATTTATATGGTAGTATTCCAGTGTTGTGCTTATAAAAATTTTATATGTAGCACATCAATACAACACAAATTTAAGTTTAGAATTCTGAATACAAGACTTTTGAGATTTTTCCTATTGTCAGAATCTATAATTAATAAACAGAAATTTTATATGTATATATAATTTCTAATAATTACATTTATATTGTTTGAATATGTATACTGTGTATAATATATATACAAATGATATTCAAATTTGTGTTGACATAAGTAAACAAAATTTATAAATTATATTTGTATAGATTTAAAAATTACATTAAGTCTATTAATTTATTTTTATATTTTATAAGATGATTTATTCATTTTGCTAATATTGACAAGACTATGTCTTGTTTATAAAATTGTACTACCATTTTATGTTACCAGAATAGAGGTATGAAGGAGTACATGTCGAGAGTTGATATTTGGCACAGAGCATTAGGTGCCCAAATCATTTGCGCATAAAAAAATCCAGACTTATAGGTAGTCAGAGGACCGAGAATCAAGTCAAAATAAAATACAAAATGGCACCCCTCTTTTACAAACAGGCAAAACAGGCACCTCACCCCACAAAAGTCAGGTAGGGGAGAATACCACCCGCAGTCATTCTAAGAAGTGAACTCTGACCTTAGGACTGAACACATAGTTTCTTCTATGTTAAATAAAATTTGTAATCTAATTTTGTAAATTCGGGAGTGCTTCAAATATGACATTAAAATGGTTTTATGTCATTACAAGTGGGGTTTTTTTAATACTAGAGAGGTTGCGGCCATCATATTCAGCCCAAAACGTGAATGGCGGACTGTTGCGCGCTGGCATCTGACAATTCTGGACAGTCGATAATGGTGGTCGCTACGTCTAGCATGGTGAGTAGATGATCAGCTTAAACTTCTTCATTTTTTGTGTTTGGGGTTAAAATTATGACCTATTTTATTAAAATAATGATTATTTAAGCAGTTATGAATAATATAGTAAAGAAACAGATGATTTTAATCCAGAAATTATTTAATTATTCAATTTTTTAACAAGTGATGTAGAATTTACATATATTTGCCTTCATAATAGCTTATCTTAAGGTAGGTTTGTTCTTCCATGGTATCTTCTACCATCAACAGTATAATACATTTGTAAATTTTTTAAAAATTAATTTTCCGAGCCGCTTTCGGATTTACATAAGCCACTACTTCCCTCGACAAAAGTATGAGGTAGGCCTATCATCTGATCATATGGTAAGAGAGACCACGCTAATTAAAAAATATTATTTAGTGTTATTAACCATTTTATAAATACTTTAAAATAGTTTAATTTGTTTATTTACCTTCACTGGTAACCCTTGATGTTAAATGTATCTGTCAATTTTTCAACAAATTTCCCCTGAATCAATGCGCAACATTCACTGAGTCACGTGAAGTTGTGAACGTGCACCGCAACGATTTTTTATTGGAATTAAAACATAAACCATGTACTTATGCTTGCCGTGTAGAAGTAATGTTTGAACTTGGGCCGCAACCTCTCTATTATCTAGTATAGTAAAATTGTGGGACTGATAAAAATTTGACGTTATATTATGGCTGTCGTTACATCCGATGATGTTATAATTGGGATAAACTGTATATTGTTTGTGCAAAATAAATAAATAATTTCAGACAATACAATAGCCACAATTATTTTTTTCAAAACGTGAAATTTTCATTAGGCATCGACAAAAATTCAACCTTGGGCAAGATGCAATGGAGAGAAATTTCGACATTGGATAGGTTAGTCTCACCGAAAATGCATCATGGACGACCTTGTGGTCATGGTCATGGCTGAGGCAGGAGAAGTTTTCTCCTGCCTCAGCCATGAGAGTTTGAATGATCACACCCAAAAGCAGCGATACCAAAGAAGATTGGAGAACGAGAACGAGACCCGTCTTGAGCGTCAAAGTGATTTTGCTTAGTAATGAGTCTCCAAGACATAGTCTTATCCCAAACACAGTTTTGCCGTTTTACTTGTTTAAATATGTGTACATTATATTAAACTTGATTTCCTCAAGTTATAACATTCAAAATAAAACAAAGTAATATAAACTGGAAGTTTTCAAAGAGATGTTATCAATGGAAACTTTTACATATTACAATTTTCATTACGAAAATTGTAATATGTAAAATAGTTTTTTTATTTATCCATTTTAAATTTTATGTGAATATAATGAAATATTTCATTGTCATACATTTGCATCAATCATTTGATTAATTATATATATATTTTTATTTATATTATAATATTTTCTAATTATAAGTATTTCAATAAAGGAAATTTTTTCTAGGAATCTTTGCTGCAAGCATTAACTACTATTTGCACAAACTGTATGTAAGTTCAATGTTTTTTCAGTTTTATATAAGTTATTGATAATATCAATTTTATAAAACTAAATAATAATAATAATAATAACTCTCCCGTGGTCACCACCTGGTCGTGGTGGGAGAGCCCAGTAGTTTTACAGATCCATAGGGCAATGCAGGCTGGAGCACAAGCTCCTGGTAGGGACACCCATGCCAGTAAGGTCTATGGGGAGAAATGAAGCTAAGAGTGACCACACACCCACATTCTGTGGAGATAATCATTATGGTAGTAACCAGATC